AAAAGCATTTGGCTGAAATCTTCCATATTAATGGAGTCAGAAATGGTTGTTGTCATTCAGTAGCTGTGTGATGCATAATTCACTTGAGTGCATTAGAACACCTAAAAGTGATTGCTACAATTAGGGGCCACCTCCTAGGGAGCTGTCCACCTTCGAAGGAGCATCACTTCCCAGTTTATTACTGTTTCCCCCTTGTTTTCATGTTTTTGAAATTGTAATTTTCTCTCCCTCAAGGCAAGAGGCAGGATGGCATATTCAATGACTTTAAAATGCATCTCAGCTCCTGGCCAGCTTTGCCATAGATGTGTATTTGGCAAGCTTCCTTTTCTGAGTGCTTACATTGAGAAATGTATCAAACAAAGCCACCAGGCACAAAGAAATGGGTTGCAGAGCAAGTCACAATTAGGAACAATGGCCAGGAACAAACAACTACAGTTGTTTGATTTGGAAAATAATAATAATCCCCCAGTGAGGCACTACCTTGATGTGATTGTGGGGCTTGCATAGGAAGATGAGAGCTATGCTAGTGATTCAACCACACTGGATAGGTCTCATCAGACGAGCCAGATGAAGGGAGCCTCTGGTGAGACCGATTTACAGAAACCCATACTGGTTCAGTCGACACTTGGATCAACAAGGATTGTGTCAGGTATTGGAGTTCCTGGATATCTTGTGACAAATGGGCTACAGGACTCAGGGCTCTTGGCTAAGCAACCAGGGCACACAGCTGCAGGACTACTGGAAGAAAAATTGTTTACTCATCATAAATACACAAAGACTGAAACAACAAAATAATGATTTATTATTATTATTATTATTATTATTATTATTATTATTATTATTATTATTATTATTATTATTATTTATTGGTTAATCTTTAGTGAGATTCACAGCCTTTGAGGCTGGTTAATAGCTCAGCAGCTCGAGTCCTAACCAAGGACCTAGGAACTGTTAAGGTATCGTCGGAGGATGTAAGCTGTTCCGAGTAAGGTGGTTTTTTGTAGAGTCAAAATGTTCAAGTCCGGCAAATTTAGAATTTCTAAATAGCGGGGTAGCCCTTTGGGTATTGCTCCGAGGGCTCCAATTACAATCGGGACAACACACGATTTCTTTTTCCACAGTCGCTCAACTTCAATTTGTAAGTCCCGGTACTTTGTGATTTTTTCTTGCTGCTTATCTTCAATTCGTGCATCACCAGGTATTGCAATGTCAATATTATTATTATTATTATTATTATTATTATTATTATTATTATTATTA